GTAATGTTCTGGGAGTTTTTCTGTTTTTTACTGTTTTGAGAATAATCTCAAAATATAATTCATGTTAGCCTTGAGTTACATAGCCCAGGCTGGCCTTAACCTTATACCAATCCTCCTGCCTGAGCCTCCAGCTGCTGAGATTATAGGTGTGTACCACCACATCCAACAATATTAATGTTGTAACGAGGTTAAAGTGAACTTTTAGATAGTGAGTTGAATTTCACTTATCCTGAAAATCGTAAATGGTAAATGAACCTATTATCTGTGTGTGAATCTGACGTTTGTCCCTTATGGAGATTATTTGTAAACTAAAAACAAAAAGTTAGACAATTATTAAAAATGATGTTAACAGGTACACTGAGCAATAAACTAAAACATTTTCATTTAACTGACATCTGCTTAGTTTTTTTTATTTAGTTAAGTATAAAGGCCCAGTTAATTCAATTCATTAGATTGGTCAAGGCAAGACACTTGAATTACACAATAGGACTTAAAAAGCAGTTGCTTTTGTACTAGTTCTCTGATACCACACACACATACACACATACACACAAACTGGTAGAGTACTTGCATATTGGACCCGCCCAATAATCTTATATAATACACTGTTCGTAACCAGCAATATTTTGCAAACTATAAATCGAACACAGCCAAAGGAGAGATGTCTGATCAATTTTATAAAGTATTTGGGGACTTTGGCTTATTCCCCAAAAGATTGACTTTAAACTATTTTAAAAAATTAATTAATTTAAAAAAGCACAACAGTTTTAAAAGACATCTTGAGGAAAACTGTAACTCAATTTCTACTTTTTCAAATATGACTGAGAAAGATGTAAGTAATAATAATGCCTACATTTAAAAAAAATAACGAACTGAATGGGGGTGGGGAGGGGATGTACAGTGTTATTGCACTCCACAAATGTGCAGAATTCCAGAGTGTGCAGCACTGAAAAGCTATCTTGCATCGAGGTTTTCCAAGAGGTACAACGAGCCTGTCAGAAAGCATCTGGCCTGTACTGACAGCTTGCTGTCTTCAGTACAGGCCTTCATAATGTCAGTCACGCTGCTCTTGCAAAAATGCCTTCATGTAAAAGAGTTTTCAGTGCTGATAGGTGGGGCTATGATCGCTGATGTGGGATTGAATCCATATGCACATTGAGCTTCATTTCATTGTCAAGAATTTGAACGAGTTGTTGCATGGACGGAAGATGACCAGACTCCAGCTTAGACCACACAGGTACATCATTTAAAGTTATCTCAAATGCACCTGTTGACATACACTGGTTCTCAATCATGTTGCTCAAGAAGAAAACCATCATACAGGCATAGACCTTATTTTCTTGGCCCCACTGCCAGATGCTAGGAGCTTGCATGCCAAAGAAAGCAAAGGGATCCTTGCCAATGATTATTAAGACTATTAATACTAGTTTGAAGATTGACAGGAAAGATGCTATGTGTCTATAAATTGGTTGAGGGAGGTAATTCTCTCCTTCAATTCGGATGTCTGGGTACCGCTGGCTAATAACCCTCATGTACTCCTCAAACACCCGCCTATAACCTCAGGACACACAAATCTGGAACTTGAGCAGCGGCCCAGTGGCGTACTGCATCTTCAGTCTCTTGCTGGGCACGCCGCCCAGGTGGCCCAAAGCCTCGCCGCCAAGCACTGCGGACGCCGCCACCAGGAGCAGCAGCACAAGCCTCATCGTAGCCGAGACAGGCAGCCCGGCCGCCTTCGCGCTGAGACTGCAGCCCGGAGGAGAGGTTTATTCATGCTCACAGTGTTCAGAGGACTTAGTCATGGTTGACCCCAAGGCAGAAGGCATGGCAAGGAGGATGGCAGAAAAAAACGCTCAGCCCATGAGAGCCACAAATCAGCAAGTGAGAGGGGAGCAGCCCAGGGCGAGAACACACCTGTCATGGTTTGGGGTTTTTGCATGGGGAACAATATAACACAAAACACACTTTATAATAGTATTTTATAATGAATCATATACAGGAAGTGCAGCAAACCTGTCCACATGCTAAGTACTAAAGAATTCAGCTGAGGGCCTGGGTCCTAATATCTTGCATGAGTCCAACTGAAAACCTAGAGCTCATAACAACACCTCCCACAAGTCCAGTTGGAGGCCTAGAGCCCACAACAGAGTCTTGTGCAAGTCTGCTTCATGGATCTGTGCTGGAAAGGACCAAAGGTCAGTGGTGGAATCTAGGGAGCCTATGGCATCAGGACGAAGGATCTGTGCTAGCAGGCTGAGGAATCTGAACTAGAGCTAGCAAGCAATGATCAAGTTAAGCACCAGAACTCCTTAAAAAGTACCACAGCCGTGCTCAGCAACAGTGAGGTCCCAAGCTCCTGTGATGATGAGAATAGCTGAGTTCCAATCAGGAAAGCCAAGGGGACAATCTTCTCCCTGAGGCTCAGCAGGGCACCATCTTGTCTTCTGGAGCCAGGAAGAGATGCTTAAGATGAGCACCAGAGTTCCTCCAAAGTTCATTGGGAAAGCCAGCCTGACAAGGTCCTCCAGCAGACAGCCCAAGGAAACCAGCAGCTTTCAGCAGCTCCAACAGCTTCTCCAAAAAGGCATCCCCAACAGCATACCAACACCTTCTCCTGTTCTGCCTTTATGCTGCTGTCAACAACCCTCAAGTGGGTATTCCATACCCAGCACCATGCTAGTTCAATTAAGTTTGGTATGAGGTGTTGACACCAGTTCAGAATCTACTACAACACCCTTCCACGTTTGCCCCAGTGACCACCTTTCACCAGGCCCCACCTCCTTCCTAATAGCACATTTAGCTAGTGAACTCATTGCTGATGAATCCATTAATGAATACTGCAAGTGCATGGTCTCGCCATCTTCCAAAAACATGAGATAGGGCTGGGGAGATAGCTCAACGGTCTAAGCACATGCCTAGCAGCGTAAGGATCTGGGTTTGATCTCCAGTACTGCAAGCTGTGCTGGTCCCGAAACCCCACGTGCGCCAACCTGGCCACCAAAACTGGACATGGTGACACATGCCTGTAATCCCAGGGCTGAGGAGGCTGAGACAGGAGGATCACTATGAGTCTGAGCTACATAGCAAGACCCTGTACCAAATAACAAATAAATAAGAAAGGCTAAAAGAAAATTCAAAAACATGAGACACTGAGAAGATATCTTAGATTTGAACCATAACACCAGTTTAATACACACTACGTATCAAATACTACAGTCTCTGGGGCACCAGCAGTGGGTGAGACAAACATCACCTTCGCCTTCATGGAGCTTATCTGACTCTAAATAAATAGCCACTCAGCTAAACAATAACAACTGTGAAAAGTGTCATCAATTCAGCAGGAAGTCCTCAGAGTAAAGGAAGTATATGAATAAAAAGTTAGTTGAATATCTTAGAGCTAGCTTGAAAAACTTTAGTTTTTTTCTGTTTTTCAGAAATTTCTTAAGAGGAAATGGCAAAAAGAAGAACAAAAAAGACATGGTATGCTTAAACAATGAAATATTGCTCAGCTATAAAGAACAACAAACTTGAGACATTTATCGGACAGTGGATACAACTTGAGTCCATATTTGTAAGTAAAATAAGCCAGTCTTGCATGTGCAAACATCGTATTGTCTCCTTGGTGTAAGAAGCTGAAAGAGAAAATAAGACCCTAGATGTACAATAGCTTTGTGAAATGGGAAGAAAATGCTCAAAAGGAAAGAGAAACTGGAACGGGGGAAAGGAGAAAACAAGGAAAAGGATATAAGATAGATAAACAGACGTACTGCTAATTACTGTTAGCTCATTGAAAGGGTAGGTTTATTGCTTGATCAGCTTTTCATGCTTGTATCTTCCATTTCCAGCAATTACTTTAAAGATAATGCACAATGTACTGAATATTGTTACTCACCTACAATCTTGTTTTGAAATTTTATACTATTGTTTTCATTGTTTATTTTTCTTCTCCTTAAAATAAAAAAGAACAAAAAGTTCTTCTTTCCTGACTGGAAAAAATAAAAGGCCTTGGAAAAGAAAATGAAAAGGTTGATTCTTTCCATGACTGCAAAGGAGGCAATTTTCCATTTTTAATCTCAAAATCTTCTGAGCACTGAAGAGACATAAAAATTAATAAAAATAGTAACTGTAATAATAAGACTAACCAAACAATTTCTGCCTTGAATGCCTTCTCAGGTAGAGGACTGACTCCTAGGACATACTGAACACCTTCTTCTTTGGTAGACTCCATCAGCCCCTCCACAGCTCACCTATAAGGTGGGGTGGCCCTCCCTCTACCACTGGGGGTGTTTTCTGCTGATGCCTCACAGAAACCCCTTCCTGGAGAATGACCACTGCTGACAGGAGGAGCTGCTGAGCACAGGGAATCACACATCACACACACAGAGCCACAGCCAGCAGCTGACCACAGGGAACAAAACTCCGCTTCACCCTTGTGTTACAGGGATTAACACTGGCATATGATTTATGCTCCAGAGATCTCCCTCAACACACACACATACACACACACACACACACACTCTCACTCACTCACTCACTCACTTGCATGCCACTAGACTTTTCCTTAGACTGCACCTCGTTCCCCTTCCCTATCTTGATTCAGTTTCTCCCTTTTACTGTTTCCCAGGGAAACTCAATAAACACAAATGTCAGAATCACTTTCTCAGGCTCTGCTCTAGCAAACCTAATCTGAGAAACTGTACCAACCTAAAGTTAATCATAATTGTTTCTTCAAGTCTACAGGTTTCTTTTCATAGAGTAGTTTTTAAGATTATAAATCAGGTCCTAGGAGAGTCTACCAGGATATGGCATCTGAGAAGAGAGAAAAACAAAATAAGAAAGAGAGAGAATATATGCATATTAACAGAGGAAAGCTCGACTGTTTCATAGTGTTTCTCCAAAAAGGAACAACAACAGGTAAATAACATGTCAATACATCTCAATATAGTGTTTCTCCAATATGAAATTGTTCCAGGGATCTTCTGGGGATAAGATAGTTTTACTCTTGCAGAAATGAAAAAGTTAATAGAAAGGATGGATAACACATTTGGCCAGTATGAGGAGAAAATGTCAGAAGTTAAGAACACAGTGAAAGTAATAGATCATAAACTCAATGATAGGCACAGAGACTAGGGCTCGATCCCTGGCCTGGGGCACCGGCCCTGCCCCCAGGGTGAGCTGAGATGGCAATTGAGACTGGGTGTGCTGGTGCTCACCTATAGCCCCAGTGCTTGGGAGGCTGAAAACAGGAGGATCACTCTGAGTCCGATCTGTGGAGTGAGACCCTGTAGACCTATACTAAATATAAAAAATAAATAAATAAGTAAACTCAATGATATCCTAAAAACAAGAAAATATCAGGCAAGCTGGATCCGATAGCTGCTAGATGACTCAAAAAAACCCAACATTAGAATCATAAAAATAAAGAATAAATTAGAAGATAACTCAAAAAGTATAGAAAATAGATTCACTGAAACCATAGCAGAAAACTTTCCAAATCTAAAGAAACAATTTAACACCCAAGTAAAAGAGGTATACACAATCCCAAGTGACCCCTACTTGAAAATAACCTCTCTATGACACATCATAATCAAAACTCCAGAAATTCAACAAAAGGAGAAAATACTCCTTGATGTTAGAGAAGAACAGCAAGTTACTTACAAAGGCATCAAAATTACAGCAAATTTCTCAGCACAGACCTTAATGGCCAAGAAAGGTTGCAGTAAATTTTTTGAGCCATAAAAAAAATATCTGTCAACCCAAGATTTCTATGTCCTGCAAATTAACCTTCAAAATTCATGGCAAATAAAGACTCCATGACAAAGAAGTCCTAAAAAATACATGAACACTAAGATAAAACTGCAGAACATATTCAAGGGACTCAGACATACAGCCCCCCCCCATGGAGATAGATGATAGATAGATAGATAGATAGATAGATAGATAGATAGATAGATAGATGTAGAGATATGGAAGAGAAGTTAAACAAAAGGAAAAACTCCAAACTCAAAGGAATCAACGCTGGAAAAATAATCCAAAGACATCATTCAGTAAATACCTTATAATAATAATTCTAGTGGCCTTAATTCCTCAAACAAAACACAGACTGACAGATTGGATTTTTAAAAAGGCAGGAGCTGGGGAGATATCTCATCAGTCTAAGCACCTGCATGGCAAATACAAAGACCCAAGCTCCATCCCCAGTACTGCATGCCATGCGAGCCTGGAATCCCAGGTATGGTGACAATACCTGTAATCACAGCACTGTGAGGGCTGAGACAGGAATATCACTCTGAATCCAAGCTGTATAGTGAGACCCTGTACCAAAGAAAGAAAGAGAGATAGACAGACAGATAGATAGTTTTTTTTAAAGGCAAGTATATAGAGCCTGCAGAAGACACACTATACCCAAAAGGAAGCTTTCAGACCAAAGGGAAAAGTATAAAAAATGATACTGCATGCAACTGGAATCCAAAGGCAAGCAGGAGCAGCAGTAGAAAGAGACCATTGTAAATATCCACAAACGAGATGTTGCTTCACCTTAAAATAAAACAGAAACTGCCAGATAAAAACGACAGACAGAATCCTGTGTAATCATAGTAGAGGACTTCAGCACCCCATTCTAAAAATTAGACAGATAATCAGGCCAAAAAAAGCAGCAAATAAATATAGAGAAACTGCATCACTGAACAAATGAACAGAAACCAAGAGTGTTTTCATCTACCAAAAAAAGAATGCACATCTTTC